AATGTGATCTTTTGGAAAAAGTGACTTAGGCCACTTTCAAAATAAATGGCTGATACATACAATTGTGCTAAAAAAAAATCCGTATCCTACGTTCATAATGGAAAGTATATTATAAATATCTGTTAATAAATAAGTAATCACAATAGAATGGTATATGACTTTCAATATTGTACAACAAATGAAGATTTTGGAACATATAGAAAACTAGAGGACAAATTTAATCGTTTTCTTACGACTGTACATTCCCTTTATCCCCTTATCGCGCAGATAAATACCATTTATTACCGTGGAGATAAATATTATAAATTTGTCAGAACAGGGAGACAGAAATTTTCATTAGAAGTCCGACAGGATATTATTATATTACGGCTTCTACAGTATAGTCCTTTGTTTATTTGACACATGTAAAAGTGATGAAACCAATGGGTACACATGTCAAAAGATAAGAGACCATTGGTGTAAAGTGTGAAATAAGCCGAAATGAAGATATGTACCTGTTATCGTGTCTCTTATCTGGTCGCAGTAGATGCACCATTCTCAGAAATTTAGGAAGAAAAGGTGATAGTGAAACTTAATTGAAAACTGGGAAATTACAAAACGTGAGTAGCAAGTTTCGAGTCGAGAGGGTTCTGAAAGAAGCGTTAGGATTTTGGAAAACATCAGGATACTAAAATTGTTGCACAAACTATCAACAAGCAAAAACGATCAAAATTAATATGAGTAGTGTAAAATACAGTTATATACAAGTACATATATATATGTATGAGAGATAAGATACGTAATATATACGTATATATTATATATATATATATACACATATGTAACATATATATATATATAACAATTTTTTAACGTTATCTATAACTTCATTCTATAATTTAAATTCAAATCTTTATATAAGGAATAATGGATAAGACATTGCGTAACTTTTGTTCGTTATTCGAAATTTGGATCTAGATAATAATTTTGCCCATCTTTGTCACTAAGTACATAATTCCCTGAAGTCGTACTAACTCTCCTTGTCTGCTAATCAAAGTGCAAAACCATTTTTAATCTAGGTTTGTAATACTAAAATTGAGGGGAATTAATTTAAATTACGACTAATAATACAGAGAGATAAGATGCGTTTAATCTTGAATGTGATCCGACGTTGTAAAGCGTTTGCTTCTGTTAAATACACTATGCAACAAAATTTTGACATTTCTCAAATACTTCGTTAATTTTCATTGTATCGAGACAATTTTGTTTTTATTTTCTAGGTAATTATCTGTATTTATGGAAAAAGTTAATACAAAGTTGGTTAATATTTACTTTGTTTTTATTAACAATTGTACGTACATATTAGTAAATAAACTAATTAACAAAATTATAAGTTACGTATGTATTATAAAAGGCAATCACTATTTGAAAGCTGAGTATTTACCTATTTTTGATAGATAAAATGTGATCTATTGTATCTATCGCTATTAATATTTATTCTTTTTAATTACAATGTTCAATCATTTTATTACTAATACGTTACTAATAAGTTTTTCTTCGAGTTTTGTCCAAATAATCCCAGACAATTGTTTAATAATATTTAAATCGAGACTTTCAGGTGTATCAAATCATAACTTTAACGTTTCATTCTTCTCTAAATCTTTCAAATAATTTTTTACAATTCTATTATACCCATACGTAGTATACTAGTATATATAAAATGCAATAACAAGTATACATCATATTTCTTTCACTGAGATAGATTTATTTAAGTGTAATGCAAGCTTAACATGGCGATCAAAGACTGTTGCACAATATCGTGTATACTTCGAACATTACCTGTGTCAATTTTTATACAAATATGTTATTCCATATTAGAAACATGCTTCGTAATATGCTACCGAAATTTTCAAGTTTTACGATTAGGATAGATTCCTAAACCCCTAATTGTCAGAGATAAATAGCAAATGAATTAACGTAGGTGACCTAAAAGAATTAAAATGTGTTATATGTCTAGAGTGGTGGGATACTTTAGCGAGTAACAAAGTTATGGACAACAAAGCTGTTCGTGGGATTTTTGTTTGCATTGATCGATTCGAAGGTGGATCTGTGAATAGAAAAGAGTAACGTTCCGTTTGACAGGAACAGCAAGCGATCATTGCACGCAGCAAACAAGTTCACAGTAATTTATTACACGGTTCGCCATTCTCTTCTTCCTGTCACACACCTCTTTACCCGTGGTAGGGATATTTATTCAAATGTTGCGTTCATCTACCAAACAGATACTCGTCTGCTAGTATTCGCTTATTACGGTTTACTACGCCGAGTTACGAGACTCGTGTGTAATATGTATGCATTCTTCCTGTGTTTACAATTTTCCACTAATTGCAAATTGATCGAGGTTGCATCGTACGCTGTTCTATTGTGTGCTTGCTAATTATAATATTAGGTCGTTTCATAAGTCTTTGCGTTTCTTTGTTTTACCCATTGTGTGCCAGTGTTCTATTCATAGGGGATTCATGCAAAATTGAATCGAGTATCGCATTATTGTTATGGATAATAAACATTAATTGTAAACAAAAATTATTTCATATTCAATAGTCTCACATTGTATTTTTTTTTCATTCAGAGACGAGCGTCATTTTGTATATTTATTTCATTCAAATTTAAGATTCAATTTGTTTATTTTTTTTCACTCAGACTTACGTGTTATTTTATTTGATATTCGGACTTTATTCGGACTTGCATCAATATTTGTATATTTCTCTACTCAGACGTGTGTTCGACTTTATCCAGATTTGTTTGTCGTTATGTTTACGTTTTTCATTTAGACTCACGTGTCATTTTGTACATTTATTCAATTCGAACTTGTGTGTCGTATTGCTTACTCTTTTCATTCAGATCTGTGTGCTATTTTACGTATTCTTTTACGTACAAATTCGTTTGTCGTTTTCGATAATATTTTAGTCAGACTTGTATGACTTTGTACTGTTCTTAATTCAGGCTAATGAGTTGGGTAAATAGTAATTATCTCTAATAGAATAACAAAATAATTATATCCAATAAAATAGAAAATTCGTCTTGTTTTAAATGTCTGAAATTTGTTTAATAGTTTATTAAAATTATTCTAACTTGCAAAATATTTATCAGTTAACGTCCTTTTTCTGTAAGTAAGAAACAATAAAAAGTCATGAATTTTCATTAGGCTTATTTTTAATTGAAAACAATTAATAATCTTTCTTAAACTCACTTCCAAAATTACTGAAGCAGTGTACATATATAAAAAAATAAAGGAAATCCCGTGGTTTTAATTGATAAGACCGTTTATCTAGGTTTACTTTACACCAAAAATTTAATAAGCGAAATATGTAAACACTTATGAAGCGACATAATACTATAATCCAAGTGAGATTAAAATTGCCACGATAAATGGATTTCCACGAAAAATTCCTCTAACCGGCAATATAGTTTACAATTTAAACTTTGTAAAATTGTTTCGTTTCTTACTGTTGCTTAGATCTTTTGCCACGAGACGCACGGAAAAGTACAAAATTTCAAGAATTGTACGCGCTTGCAGAAACTGGTTGCAATTATGCCAATCTTTTGATCGGATACAGCGATCTGATTAATATGATAATGTCTGAGTTGTGGCTTTTATAGAACATGTGTAATATATGTAGCAAACACTCCAAGGATATTCCTACATTATTCGTATTCGTATGAAATGATTCAGTTTTAAAAATATTTGAGTTTCTGCACTGAATTGGTTGTAAAGAGCAATCTTTAAACATTAATGTACTATAAATGAAGTATTTTTAATGTTAATATTCAAGACTATCTTCAAATTATCAGATAGATTGATGCAGAGTAAACAAAAATTAATTTGATTTAATTATAATTTCGATGTGTTGCTTCCCTATCTAAATGAGGAATCGAATTTAATATGCGTGCACTACTTATACTCAGACCTGTTATCTTATTTCATTTCCGAAATATAATCACGTTCTCTAACATCATCCAGTAATTTTGAAAATAATTCTCTATTTCGAATATGTTAATGATGAAATTCTCTTGGAAAATATCGACATGTTCTGATGATGTAATGACAAAAAAGTGTTCAATAAATTAATTTACCAATCTTTTCGTATCGTTAAATAATAAAATGACAGTGAATCGAAGAAATTAATACAATAAATATTCTGCGTTGTAACTTCCTACGCATTTATAAATTATATATGTATACATGTATGTATGTATATTATATAATTATATATGTATATGTAAATTATATATGTTTGTATATTATATAATTATATATGTATATGTGAATTATATATGTTTGTATATTATATAATTATACATGTATATGTAAATTATATATGTATTCTTCAACGCATAAACACAAAATTTGCTAACATATTCTATTGTTATTGTACGATAAAATTTTCGAGTTCATACATTAAAAGTGTAAAAAATCATTTTCGAATATTCGAATAGTATTAGTAGCAGGGATATTCATATACTTAGTAAAGAAAATATTTGTATGGTAAAATATTAGTAGCAATCCAAATAGAAGTTAAATACTCCAATATTTAGAATTTAAATAGCTACATGCATTATTAAGTAAATATTCGAGTAACATTCAAATCGTTGAGTACATATTCGAGTAATATTCAAATATCATTTAAATACTTGTTAAATAGTTTTATTCGACAAGTCTAAGTTCTACTCGGAATATACTAAGTGTCCTTATCCCTGATGTAACAGAATGGTATTTAATTGTCGTTTGGGAGTATCTCGTCCGACTTAATTATTCGCGTGCCCCGCCAAACTGGGGCGACATTACTGATTGGGGCCCTCGTACCTGACACGACGAATTGATTTGAATAAATGTATCTTTACAGTGTACGATTATGTACAATGAACAACTCATCACGAGGTCTGCTCCTCTGCTCGTCCCAGCCCACCCCACCACACAAAACTCAGTGGTGGGACGCTGTCGAGTGTTGAATTAGATTCAGTAAAGTAAGTCGGTGAGTGCGCGACAGTCGGTCCCGTATTGTGTGGAATCGAGCCGAATCACTGGATCGCCGTTTTGTTATGTAATTCTTTTCTGCCGCGCCGCACCGGTTTCCGCTTCGCGTCGTAGAAAAAGATCGCTCCGTCGATCGAATTCGTTCCTGAACATACATATATACATATATATCTGCTATATCGTCTGGGTGAGTAGTCGATACTACGTAACGAACTTTATACATATATATGCCACGCTAAATCGAGTTAGGCTCATCGCGCCCCTGAATCGAGGACGTTCGATCGACGATCGCTCGTAACTCCGTGGAACCTTCTATATACCGGAAATGGCCAGAGTTTATATCCAGATACAAATTTCGGATAACGAACAATGGAAAATCACACGGTACTTGATCGTTACTAGTTGAATGAAAATTATAATTTGAATTGCAGAATCAAATTTTGGTGATCATCTATAACAGTGTTAAAAAGAATAACTAAAAATAAAAAATCCTTGTCACATTGTTCTATTACTATTAAATGCACCTGTTAGAAAGCTTTTATCATCAGTAGTGACAACAACAAAAAATGGGAAGTGAAAAATTTACAAAATTGTTTATAGTTTTTTTCCAGATACAAAATTTCAGTGGGTTTTTCGTTTCCAATGACGGATTGTTTGTGCATGAAAGTCAGACAGTGATGATTTTCTAATTCTCTTCAATAACAAAAACGTCTGTGATTAAATAGTGTCAAATAAGTTTGAAGGAAGGGACACAGTGTTTATCCGTCGCAAGTTGAATGTAAATTACAATTTTAATTACAAAATTAAATATTTTGTAAGAATAGTATATAATTAATGTAGATTTATCTCTTCAGCCGAATTTGAATAAAATTCGCCGAACGATCTACCACCCGAACGTTTTATTATTATAAATAGGCAGCATTTTATTCGAATAATATGTGAATAAACATTCTATATAGTGATTGACGTGCAAGGTCCGTTCGATTGCAGGATTATTTGGTGATGTTCTGTTCGATCAAGGATAAACATAATTCGAATTGTCATTTATATCGAACAAACAACGAATTAAAAGTTATTTATACTCTATTCGTTACTTAAAGAATTTTATCTAAATGGAATTTTACTTATCACTAAACAAACGTTTCATTGTGGGGGAAAATATGCACTTGTAGAGTATGTCCTTTTATTGAGAGATTTTCCAGTATTTTGTCATAAATTCTATTTGAATATGTATTATTCCAATGAATACTTGTGTAAAACATTACATATTTAATTTCTAATTCTGTTACTTAACTTAATTGCTATATGCAGGTTGTTCTAAGAGTGTTTCATTATATCAAATAAAGAATTATTACTATTAAATAATAATTGCCCATGAATTTTAATTAAACTTTGAACAAATTTAGTAATAAATTAATGAATATGTTAATGCTTAGGGCAACTATGATCCGCTATGGATGTTACATTGAAGTTATTTCATAGCGTATGATAACGTAACTGTATTTTCAAAATGAAGTAACCACGAAATAAGATAATATGTTATGTAAAACTGAAGTTTAAGTGAGACTGTTTCAAAAGTAGTTACATTGTTTTGTTTTAAATAAATAAATTATGTAACGTAGAAGGGTATAACTCAGAATAGTAATTCAGAAATAATGCACGTAATCACGAAATAAGATAATATGATATCTAAAACTGAATTTTAAGCGAGAATGTTTCAAAAGTAGTTATATTGTTTTAGTGCTGGTAGCAAAGAAGGCACAAAAAAAGTAGAATTACTTATCAAACAATGTAGTGATTTTAGAGAGCAAACGAGAAATTATATATTATTCGTTACTCTCATTTCAAAAGTATTCATTTCTGTTATAGAGTATTTTTTTTCTTATGTAAACGTTCTGCAATATTTGATTACAAACATTTACACATTCAATTAGACACCATCATTGATAATATTTGTTTATGAAGTTCATTAATGATTCCATGTAGATCATTAAATATGATAAAAAATGATAAAAACCTATGGGATTCATAAACTTTTAAGGAAATCCTTTCTTTACGTTATATTTTCATTTCTGTTAGTTCTATGACATTTCACTTCAATTGTATTTACTCGATGTATTGATCACGATGATTTACAGATTGTATTACTCGATGATCTTGAATGGAGTCTATCTATAATCAGTAATCATGATTAATCTACGATACGATAGCTCTGTAAGATTACAAAATATTGTTTTGTGATTGCAGATCACGAATGTAGATTATGTTTACCGATTATCCGACGACTCTAAGTGCTAAGTACAAACATAATCGTCACTTAACTTTATAATATATGCTTTGTTACCTATAAATCGCGTTTTCATGATAGCAGTGTTATTGAAAATATCTTGTGTATGTAGATTAATAAAATACGTAGCATAGAATGTACAGAGCACACAAAATAGTTTAATATTAGTAAATATCTATCGAGATATCGACGTAAATATTTTAATCGAGAAATGAATATTGAGAATTTCAATAAACATAATATTTTGAAATTATACAATTATACCGTACAAATTAACTAAATAAATTCACGTGTGTCTACTTACAGTTTTGTACATTGCACTAATACGAGAATTTTTATTTGTATACACCAATTGTCTACAAAACATAATGATTATTAAAGTAAAATAAACGTCGAATTTGTCTAGAGTTTTCTACAATTTCCTAATTCTAATCTTTCGGTGTACTATTTCCCCAATTCCTGCGATTAAAAATCTCAAAGAAGTTGAATTCTTGAACGAGTCGTAAGTAAAATGAGATCAGAACACGTAAAATTAACTCATGCATATGTATTCTGTATAACAGCCCCTTGCAAATTAAGGATCCGCGTTAATAGTGAATCGCGATGGATGAAATGCAAACATTTCTCAACGGAAAAGACTCGACGCACGTATTTCCTTTCCTTTTTAATTGTTCGTGACACAATTTGACCGATGTACCTGCTGCACATTGACGAAAGATACGAAGCCGAGGTGCGTATGTCTGGATTACGCGACACCTGATAGATAACCATCTTTCTCGCGTGTATTATTTAATTTATTGGAAAGCTTTATCGCGTGGAAGGTGATCAAAGCGTAGTCGATAACTCACGTCGAAGATGCGTATCGTTTCCGGCATATATTTGGCCCACTAATAATTTATTATATCGACAAACTGATTTGCTCTTTTTAATTTCAAATATATTGTGCTTTTTTCCAATTCAAACTTATTTGATATCATTTAATAATAAATAAGTTTTTGTTATTGGATAGAATTAAAAAGTCATTGCTGTTTGGCTTACATGCGCAATTGTCTATCATTCCAAACGAAAATTTCACTGAAATTTTGTACCGTTTATTGGTTTAACAAAACCAGCACGAAAACTATGAACAATTTTGAACCGTATAAGACTTTCAAATTTTTTACTTACTGATGATAAAAGCTCTCCAACAAGTATTTGATATTTAATTATTTATAGAACTTTGTGACGAGCATTTTTTATTTCATTGTTAATGGTGCCTGTTTTCTTCTGAATCCTCGTAATTTAATAAAATTGTAAAATATAGATAATTACTAATATTTAATTCTGTAGTTCAATCGCCTGTTCAACGTATAACGGAAAAACAGTTGTTTATGCGAAATTTGTATCGATTTCTTCCTACTTTGTTTGAGTTTTAATTCAAATTCTCTTCGTACAGAAACTGAATTTTAAGTTATACAATTAAATATTTCGCAGTGACTAATAAAAAAAAAAAACAAATAAATGTCGATAATGAATCGCTATAGGTTGGTTTCATTCGTTATTTATTACTCGGGCAGAAGTTTACCCATCCCTGATCAACGAAAGTAAATCGAATCGTTCCAAGGCGCAGCCTCGATTCTGCGCCCTCTAACGCAACGATCGCGTGCGAAAGCGTGTTTGAGCGTTAATTAACTGAACGAGCGTATGTTTCCTATAAACTGTGGGAGACTATTGAGGAACGAATCTCTCGTAAACGTGCTACATGCTGAAACGTGGTCGTTATTAAAGCGAACGTTATTAACGCTTTGTCGTTTCGCTCGCGAAACTCTGAACTTCGTGTAAACACTTAACAATTATTGGCGGGGCTAACTTGTTTTGTTGGAAATCAAAGAAATCAAGCAATTATCGTTAGGAGCAATCGTTTTACTTTGTTAAACGTTGTGATGCTTTGATCCTCGTTATGGATCGTCTTGAGTAACAATTCAAGTAACCATTACTCGAGCTAAATCATAATTAAGGAAACAAACTACTATTCAATGTACGAGTTAATGGAATAAATCAGTCTACAGTTTAAAATACAGTGTATAATTTTTAAAAGTTATTAATACACACTTCGATCAGTACGAAATTTGTGTAAGTTTCGATTGCATTTACACCTTTGATTTCTCAATATTATTATGGTAAATGAATTGTTCTATTTTTCATGTGTGAAATGATATCATATTTCCTTTGAAATTGTTCAGGTTAATTAATTGTTAGCGTAGAGGATGTAAACATTCAACGTTTAAGGGGTCAAACCACATTAGGAGGCCAAATATTAAAGGTTTTTCGGGATATTTTTGTTACAGAGAAGAAATAATTTAATTGTTTTTTTTTAACGTTAAGAATACTTTAGGTATGTTTTAAAGTACATTTGGTAATTCTTATTACACAGAAATTTGTGAAATATCGTATTTTCTTTTAAAACAATATGTTTAGACGATAAACGTTTTAAATAAAATTACATTATAGGAAGAGTATTTATAAATAATATCGTTTTTTTTTTCTCATTGTATAAACATTATTTGATTCTCCGCAAATAATTTAACTTCATATAACTCAACCTAGATTTCAGTTAAATGTATTGATATTTAGTGTATCTACTTACTACATGTTCAAAATGATCAAAAGCATTGATCTACAAGACAAACAATAATTGTATACATATAATGTGTATCGATAAATTGTATATATGATTTGTACATCTGTAACACTTACTTTCAATCGTTGCAATTATAAACAAGTATAACATGATGGTGCATGATAAAAGAGATTGTTTTTACTTTTTCTGAAGCTATGTAAAAGAAATTCATTTTATCTCGACAAAGATAATTATCATGGAACTATCGAGGACAATGCATAAGTATTTGTTATACATAATA